TCCCTCTCTCTCTGCCCCTCCCCCGTTCATGCTCTGTCTTTCTCTGTCCCAAAAATAAATAAACGTTGAAAAAAAAATTAAAAAAAAAAAAACAAAAAAAACAAAAACCACAGCCTCAATGTTTCCATTTCTCGACCTTCACTCCTCATTAGATCATCTGGGGAGCTTGGGAAATATAATAATGACACCCACCCCAGACCGATTAAATAGAGACACCAAGAGTGGGGCCCAAATGTTAGTATGTTTGCAGCCGGTGACAGGGCCGGGGGGCGGGTGGAGGGTAAGAATCCCCACCTGAGATGTATTCCGACCACAGCTGATGCTGTTAATTTTGTAGACATAACCGGATTATGTCTCCTGGAGATGATAGTTTTTTTTTTTTTTTTATTCCTTTAGCTGTTTTGGAATTGTTTCTGATAACAGATTTAGAAAACCCCTTCATGAGACTGTTCCCTGAGGTGTCTGGGCTGTTGACACAACTCTGCCCTGAGCAAGAGCTTCTGCTCACACCTACCTCCCACGGGGGACCGAGGACAGAGCTATCTGGGCACAGCCTCGGGCCTGCCCATTTAACAAACTGCAAATCAGGAATGGAGCAACCTTTCCCTGGAGCCCCTGTTCCTGGGAATTTCAGATCCACAGGAGCCTGGCAGGAGGGGATGTGTTGGCAGGAAGATATGGAGTGCCTGTGGGGCGTGTGAGTGTGTGTGTGTGTGTGTGTGTGTGTGCTTGCACATGTGTTTGCCTGTGTGTGGGTATGTGTAGGGATAGACATGTACATGTGCATGCATGAGGTATGCACAGGGGCCGCACGCATGTGCACACACACGCACATGGGCATTCATATACGGTTATGCACTGGGGCACGCACGCATGGGCACACGTGGGCATCATGTGGGCGCACGCATGTAGTGAACGAGCTGGCAGTAGGAGGTATTTCAGACCTTAGTACCTTACACAAGCGCCTCACTTTCAAGGCCTCCTGAGTGCAGTGAACCCCACCTGCACCGCGCTGGCCCTGGGATAGGCAATGGCAATAACTACAGGCTCAGGGCCAGGCCCAAGAAGTGGCTAGAGGAGGGAGTGCTCTGGGCAGGTAAGGACTCAGGGTGAAGGTTGAGCGAGAAGACACCTCAGCCCAGGTTGAGAAGCAGAGTAACTGAGGTAAATTCCTATCTCTTACGCAGACTTGTCAAATACCTTCTCTCCCCTGGGGGGATGATTCGCTCAGGGTGGTTGATAGGCTGTCACAAATGCCTGGGAGAGGCCTGCCCATTCCCTCAGGGAGCAGTAAAGGAAGGAAGTTCTCATGTCTCTGGCCCCAGAAGATGCAGGGAGGAATCAAGCTGAACCCCATCTGATAAACGTGAATTCATCTAACCTTGAGGCAGATCAAGGTGTCAGTAATGCTGATAGGATGCTTCACACTCACAGGGTACTTTGTGTGTGGCAGAGCCTGGGATGAGGGGTCCGGACAGCCCTCACCCCCTGGATTCTTCCCACTGTATCTTAGGGTCTCTGATGACCGAGGGAACAAGGGCCCCTAGACCCTTGCTTGCTGCTCTGCCCAAGGCAGGTCTGGCTTCTGGCTAACCACAACCCCTGCTTGTGCCATCCACAAACTGCCCAAGACTTCTTTGACTTTGCAGACACAGACTCCCTTTTCTCTTTTCTTCACCTCACCCCCACCCTATCTGGCTTTCCTGCAGGAAGCTTCCAGGCCAGGCAAAGATGCCTCTTTTCATCATTTGCAAAAACATTAGCAGCATTTTGCTCCACAGTGTTGATGCATCTGAGTCCTCTGTTCAGAGGGAGCTGGAGGTGAGCAGCAGCGTGTGCTGGCGGGTGGTGAGTGGGCACACTCAGCTCTGAAGAGCCCTGCACAATGTGAACAGCTTGGTCTGACAACAAAGTGCCACCAGGGTGAGAGTCAGAGTGAGGGACATGCTGGTTCCCTCTCCCAGTGCTGAGTAGCTACTCTGCAGGTTCAGCACCAGCACTCGGGGACAGCTCCCTGACCAGTTCCTTCCCACTCTGGTGACCGACCTCCTGCCAGATTTTGGCAGGGGCTGGGGGTAGGGGGGTTGAGGGGCAGGGGATGTGCTACTCCCAAGTGACAACTCCTCCCCCAGAACCTGCTGCCCCCAACCTGGGATTGTGTTTCCCAGTGCTGCCACCCCATACAGCCCCTTCATTAGTCCCTGTCATCTTCTTTCTCCCCCTTCAAAGTGAACCCTATAGGTACTGTTCCTCTCTGAAGACACTTCACCTTCCCTAGGCCTACTGCAGACAAGTGCATCGGTCTAAAACAGTGACTCCAGCAGTGAATCACAAGCCACAGGAATAAAAACCTTCAAGCCACTAGGTCATCTAGTGGCCTCCCAGCACAACCTGGTATCAGCCTCCTTCTCCCCATAATCCTCCATCCATAGAGCTGGTCCTAGTACCACTCTCCGATCAAGGTCACACGGAGCCCTACTCGAGTTACTGGCAGACTCCAAGTTCAGGGGAAAACCGAGAGGATGAGTAGCTGCCCAAACCACGCTGACCTAAGATTGCCTATGGCTTTGTCCCCGCCAGTATCCTCCGCTCTCCAATGCTCCTGTGCTATAGAGCATCAGCATTTGTGGCCAGGACAAAGTGCTGATCAGAGACATCCAGAACCAATAGACCATCAAGATGGCGGGCAAGTTCTGGACAGGAATCACACATTAGCTTGAAAACCACCTCAGAGTAAGTTAATGGGCTGATGAAGGAAAGCCGACGTGTAGCAACAACTCTGAGGCCTTCCTTAGTCATGCCCTGGGGCCAAGTTAGAACAGTCTCATCCAAATACCAATGAGAAAGAGGAAGAAAAAATCCAACCATAAATCCCTAACCATAAAGAGAAAAAAGATCGATGCTTTTGATTACATTAAATTAAGGCTTTCTGTTCCTTGGGGGGAAAAAAAGAAAAAATGACAAGAGACAAGCCACAAATTTGGAGAAGATTTTTAAACAAATATAACTCACACAGGATTTATACCCACAATATACAAAGAACTCCGACAACTCAATAAGGAAAAGATAAACAACCTAGCAGAAAGGTGAGCAAATAACGTGTGTGGGCATTTCATCAAGGGGAAAGAAGGACCAACTTATGACAGAATGCTCAGCCTCGTTAGTTGTCACGGAAATGCAAGTTAAGAACACAACAAAATATCATGATACCACTCGACACCACCCTCAGTTAGGAAGTCTGATTACACTAGGTGTGGGTGAGAACACGGCCACTGAGAACCTCCAGTTGGTGGGGTGAAATCGGTGCCATCACTTTGGAAAACAGCTGGCATTATTTCACACCATTAGTCCCAATGATTGTGCACCTTAGTCCATCCCAAAGAGAAACTCAGTCTATACCATGACACAGGTTCCCCAGGTGACATGTATAAGAGTGTCTACCATAGCATCATTCAAGATAAGTTACAAAAGCAGGAAAAAGATGTCCACAGTCAGCAAAAACTGATAAATAATTAAGGACCATCCACATAATGAAATATAGCAGTGAAAATTAAAAAAATAGAGCTACTTCATACAACATGGGTGAATCATCGAAACATAATAATGGGTGAGGAAAGCAAGTCTCAAACGTTACATACAGTAGATGCCATTTGCACAGAGCTCAAAGCAAAAGAAAAGTAAACCGTATGCTGTTTATGGATACATGACCATGTAAAAAATTAATTTGTTTTTTAAAAGCAAAGAAATGATAAACACAGAGTCCAAGTTGCATGTTTCCTCTGGGGGGAGGCAGAGGGATCAGGGAGAGAAGGGGCACCAGGTGGATACAGGAGTCCTGGGAATATTCCTTCCTTCCTTCCTTCCTTCCTTCCTTCCTTCCTTCCTTCCTTCCTTCCTCTCTCTTTCTCTCTCTCTTTTTCTTTCTTTCTTTCTTTCTTTCTTTCTTTCTTTCTTTCTTTCTTTCTTTCTCTTTCTTTCTTTCTTTCTTTCTTTCTTTAAAAGAAAATCTTTTAAATTAATACTTAAACATTTTTTAATATTTTATTTTATTTTTCAGAGAGAGAGAGAGAGAGAGAGAGAGAGAGAAACATGAGTGGGGGAGGGGCAGAAAGAGAGAGGGAGACCCAGAATCCAAAGCAGGCTCCAGGCTCCAAGATGTCAGCACAGACCACAATGCGGGGCTCAAACCCATGAACCGTGAGATCATGACCTGAGCCGAAGTCAGTTCCTTAACCGACTGAGTCACCCAGGTGCCCCAGGAATATTGGGGGAATTCTGGCAGAATCACGGGAGGACACCCTATATTTGCACTTCTTAACATCTGTTACATACATTTTTGTATGTGTCAAATATTATATGATAAACATTAATAAATAAATGAAGAAAAACTGTATTTCTATATCTCACAGGTGCAGTAGTTAAGCTTAATCACACTTGCACACAGGCAGGCACACACACATACACACAATCCTTCCCCCTGTCGTCACCATCTCCCACCTCTAAGAGCATCAGGGGGACCCTGGAAAGGCAAGCGTTGGGGAAGGAGAGGCATTAGCAGCCCACCTTACCACCCCCCAGGTCTTGCCAGCCCCCCAACCCCAGAATAGGCCGAGGAAGGAGCCCAATTCCAGAAGAAAAACTCCAAGACTCCACCAAACCCACCAAGACGGCAGGCAAAGAGGACCCCAGCTACATGACATGGCTCAATTCCACAAACTGGTATTTGTCAGCCCCTGAGTACAAACACCAGGGCACGTGTTGGCCCAAGATGGAGAAAAGGATCCTTTGAACAGCACTATGCAACTATACTTCCTTGGTGCATCCCAAACATGACCAGGAACCAACGTGGAGAGGAGCAGGAAATTAGTACTGTCACTATCCACAGTATACCAAGAACCTCCCAGGGAACTGCAGGCAGAGCAGTGGCCCCCGGGGAACAGGTTCCCCTTCCTTCCCTGCCCTGCCCTGTCCTCCCCTCCCCTCCCCTCCCCAGCACTCACCTCTGCAGCTCCTTCAGGGACACTGTGATCCGCAGGCCATGGCCCAGGACATAGAGAGTGGCCAAGATGTCTGCCCACTGCACCATCTCCCCCAGAGGCCCGCCCTTCAGCACCCTTGGGCTGAACACGTCACCAGACTCCTCCGTCAGGAAGCCGATATGAACGAGGATCTAGGGAGGACACAGGGTCAGCATGGAGGGAGGACACAGGGTCAGCATGGAGGAGCAGCAGCTCTTGCCCTGCCACCCCCAGGGAGACCTGGCCAGCAGCAGATGCTGTCTCCAGGCTGTGCCTGGGCAGGTGTTTTCTGGCACCAGAAGGGGGACCAAGAGGCAGAGTGACTGCCCTGGGCACTGGGGATAAAAGTGAACAAGATGTTCACATCCGGCTCTCAAGGCGCTTACATTCCAGATGGAAGAAGTAGACAACAGTAAACACAGACAAGAGATAATTTCATGAAATGATAGGGACTCTGAAAGAAATAAACAGGGTGATGTGAGAGTCAGGTAAATATTTATTGGTGGATGGATAGATAGATGGGTGGATGGGACAGTGGGTGGGTGCACAGATGAATAGATGATGGATAGGTGGTTGGATGGATGGATGGATGGATGGACAGATAGATGATGGATGGATGGACAGATGGGTGGCTGGCTGGCTGGCTGGCTGGATGGTTGGATGGATATGTGGGTGGGTGGATGGATGGATGGATGGATGGATGGATGGACAGACAGGTGAACAAATGGATGAATGGATGGATATATGACGGATGGGTGGTTGGACAGATAGATGGACGAATGGATGGATGGATGGTTGGATAGATGGAAGGATGGACGGACAGATGGACGGTTGGATGGGTAAATGAGTAGACAGATGGACGGATGGACAGATGGACAGGTGGATGGATAGAATGGTGGATGGATGGATGGATGGATGGATGGATGGATGGATGGATGGACGGACAGGTGAACAAATGGATGAATGGATAGATATATGATGGATGAGTGGTTGGACGGATGGATGGATGGATGGATGGATGGTTGGATAGATGGAAGGATGGATGGATGGATGGACAGATAGACGGATGGATGGATGGATGGATGGATGGATGGACAGACAGGTGAACAAATGGATGAATGGATGGATATATGATGGATGGGTGGTTGGATGGATGGAAGGATGGATGGACAGATAGACGGATGGACGGATAGACGGATGGATGGATGGATGGATGGATGGATGGATGGATGGACGGACGAACCTACAAATCTCCCCAAAACAGGCTACGTTATTCTCAATATTCTAGGCAAATGCCATGACTTTTCTGCCTGAAAAGCACAAGATGTCTACAGAAGGCAGAACCCCTAAGCAGTGTGGGAGAAGGCTTGTCATTCTACCCCAAACGTGAAAAGAGCCGGGGCCACCATATGCATCTATCCTGACTCTGCCTCTCCTGTCCCAGCTAAAATTTAAATAAATTCAATAAAACCTTTTCAAGGACAGACTCAGTGCCTACTTGTAAACCTGGGGCCCTAAGCTCATTTCCTAAGCGTTGTGAGCTCAGCTCCCTGAATGCACAGGGAAGCAGTACCTGCTTCTGGTCCCTCCAGACGCTTCCCAGCTTCTGTGCCAGCCGCTGGGCGGCCAGTGCCCACTGGGCCGTGAGCCGCTTGGTCCGTTTCTTCATGAAGATTAGAGACTCCTTCCCACTGCCCATCAGCTCCAGGAGGTGGGACAGGTTGCTCCGGAAAACTGCCTGGAGGGGGGGCCCAGACCTGGGTCCTCCAGCCCTCAGCCCCCAGCTGCACCACCACTGTCACCTGCTGCCCCTGGGGACAGGGGCCCGCACCCTCCCTGGGAGGCTGGGGCCTGGTCTAGCTTCTCCTGCCCTTTGTAGAGGCCGAGGAGCCCCCACAGTCGGGGAGCCCTGGTCTCACCCACCAACACTAACCCCCCAGCCCAACCTTCTGTCTCAGTCCAGCCTTCCGTCCCAAGCCCTTTGGGGGTGGGCAGCTGTGAGAGTTCCCAGGGGTCTCAGCTGCGACACAGAGGCAGCGAGGGTAGTGGTCAGAGCTGGTACTCGGATGGTAGGAAGTCCGGGCCACCTTTCAGTGGAGCTGGAGTAACGAGGTGCCTTGAACAAGTTAACGCCACTCCCTAAACTCAGAATCTCCATCTGTTCAATGTGGTCGCATAAAGGCTGCTGGGAGGTTTAAGTACATATAAAGCATCTGGAAGCCTTCCAGAAGCGACAGCTATTGTTACTATTATTCTTTTCCATCTAGGGGGTGCCTCCGGGGCCCCAGCTTGCCCCTCAAGTAGGCCACGCCTTGCAGCGTCCCCAGAAGGTAGGACAGGCACGGCTGGCTGGCCTCACTCAGGGTTCCTCCTGCTGACCCTAAGGACGCCCCATCTGAGGAGACCAGCTGGCCTGTCTACCAGCCCCTCACGGGCCTACCCACCTCCCACGCCTACCTGGACTTTGGGGAGGGACTTGGGGGCCATCTGGGTGGCTGTCTGATTCCTCCAAGGCAGCGGGGGGCAGAACCACTCGACCTCGCTTAGGTAGATGAGGAAGGAACACTCGGTGCCGTCCACCCCGAAGAAGGCGTAGCAAGGGTCAGAGGTCCAGCGGGCGCGCATCCACTGTGGAGAGGCCCAGCCCAGGCCAGGGTGCTGGCACCAGCCCCACCCACACCCTCGGCAGGCTCTCGGCATGCATGTCCTCGGGGACCCTCAGGGCGGGACCTCTGCCACACTTAAAGAAGCAGCAAGGGCCAGAAGCAGAGAAGACAACCAGACCAGGGCCCCACGACCCAGCCCTGTGTCCTGGCTGCTGAGAACCTCAGGGAAGGCCGAGCAGGACCACCGCCCCCCCGGGCCCGGAAAGAGGAGGACCCTGGGAGAACAAGGCCAGGTCACGACACATTCAGGGACAGCTCCAGGCCAAACAGTGGGAGACACAGCAGCTCAGGGCTTGGCTGGTCATGGGGAGCAGGATTCAGCTGAGGCCAAGGTCAGGAGCAGACTCCAAGGGCACAGGGACAGGAGTCAGAGCAGGCCCCACCCACAGTGATCCCCACATGTCACCGAGGAGGGGGTCTGCAGTGCCTCTGCTCTACCCTCTCAGGGAGTTCAGAACCAGTGACGAGCTGGCTTTTACGCCAGGGACTGCACCCCCCAGATGGACAGACTTCATGCAGCCACGGGCCCCTGGGGGTGAGCCCCCAGAGGTGGGGCTGGTGGGGTAGGGGGCTTTCTCAGCCCAGCTGGTTGCCAGGGTGGGGAGCAACCTGGGTTGGTGGGCCAGGCAGGTGGCCCAAGAGGAGAGGCCATCCCCCTGAGGCTGGCCTCTGTCAGCCGGTGCCAGGGTCAGGGGGCTGGGCAGAGAAGCCCCCACAAGCAGAACGTCAGGGCTAGTCTGGGGCAGAGCCCCTGAGGAGGAGCCTGCCCCGCCCCCCACCCCGGTCACCTCTACCCCCACCCTCAGCCCCAGGCCTTACCTCCACCTTCCCTGAGCAGTCGGGGAACTTGGGGTCACTGGGTGCCTCACACTGGTCCCGCCGGCCTTCAGACACTGCAGGGAGGGAAGGTCAGCTTGCTGAGGCCCCGGGTGTACGGAGGGGCCTCGTGAAGTGTTGAAGAGGCCCGGTCTGCGGTGGGAAGGGGTCACTGAGGAGCCCACACCGCCCTCCCTCCGCTGAGTTTTCTCACCTGAAAGGCCACCTGCCAGAGGGCCCCCGAGCCCGGGTTCCCCCCTCTGCCACTAGCCCTCCCCCTCCAAAGCGGCTTCAGAACCAGTAAGGAGCTGGCTTGAATGCCTATGGACCCGTGTCTGGATAGGCAGACCTCACGTACCCACCCAAATGTACTCAAAACTCTTTGAGGGGGACCCCCAGCCTGCTGCTCCCCACATCAGGGGAAATGCAGGGGCCACAGAGGGCCTCCAAGACCTCTGTCCTCGCGCCAGGTCACAGCAGGGTGAACCCCAAATCACCCCACTTAGAGCCCGAGGCAGGAGCCAGGACAGATGCCGTGGGGAGCGGTCAGGGCCGCGCGGTACCCCGGCCCCCTGGAGGCAGAGGGGTGCCCTGGCCCCCACCCTTGCTGTGGAGAATCAGGCTGTGACGCAGGATCTGGTCCACCTTCACGGCGATGTCTGAGACGTTCTGGGCGATGGCCTGGATCCGCTCCATGAGGCCGGCCCCCGGGGGAAACCTAGGTGGGAGAAGCCAGGGGTGAGCGGGCACAGCTCGCCGCGGTGGCCCTCCCGGGAGGGACTCAGCACGTGAGCAGGGGCAGCGGGCCTGCCGTGCTCCTGGGGACCCAGACGCTGCCCTGCAAGGAACCGAAACAGGGAGACGGACGACGCTGGGCCAGCAGACGGAGGCGTGTGCCCTCCCCCGCCCCCGGGGCTCTCTAACCACCCACCGCACACGCCACACGGGAAAGCCCCCACTTGGTGTGTCAGGCCCGCCGGCCGGTCATCCCCACATGCGTGTGCCCTGCGTGTTGGAGGGCGGTGCCTGAGGCCGAAGCAGACAGAGGAATTCTATTCCAGAGCCTGGACAGGATCTGGCCCGGGACCCCCAGGCGACAGGAGCCCTTTCCTGGGCATGGCCGGCTGCCCCGAGTCTGCTTCTCCATTTCCTCCCAGAGGGGCTACGTCGTGCCAAAATAAATTCCACCCAAAGACGCCTGGGGACTTGCCGACTATTAAGCCTCGAGTAAATTATCGCTGGGCTCCTGGGCATGAATTGTTCCCAGGATCTCAAACACATTGCCTGCCACAAACATCACGGCCCTCCACCCCCCACCCATACTCGCGTCGCCTTTATTTTTGGAGAATTTATTTCCTGGTGTTGATTACTGCTCGGCTCTCGGAGCGGTTTATGAGGCATCACCTGCAGGATGCGTCTCCTTGCAAAGACCCGTGCCGAGGTGGCCCCGCTCTGCCGGCCGGTGCGTGGGCCTTCCCCAGAAGTCGCCTGCCCTTCGCGAACACGTTAATTCCGATCTCTGATTCGCACCTCGTCCTCTGGCTCTGAGGGCCCCGCTCGAGCTCCATTTATCCCTTTACAAGGACGGGGGCTTGAGTGCCGCACAAAATGGGAATTATAGGAAGGAGGACTTTTCCAACCTGGGCTCCTCTCGGGGGATCTGTCCGCCCGGGGAGGCACAGCGGTGACAGCTGCCCGCCCCCGGGGGCCGCCTTCCTAGAGGAGAGGACAGCAGTGGCCCCATCCACGGAGGGCGTGGGAGGCCGGTGGGGGCCAGGCGGACACGGAGGTAGGGTGGCAACGAAAGGAAGAAGGTGGCAGGAAGGGGCAGACGAGCCCTCAACACACACACACACACACACACACGTGCACATGCACACGTGTGTGTGCATACACATACATACACAATCCCGTCAACTCCCTCAAAAGCAAACAAAAACACTAATGGAATTTGTACCGGATTCCTGCGGCCTTTGAAACAAATGACCACAAATGTATTCTTGCAGCTCTGGAGGCCAGAAGTCCGGAATCAAGGTGTTCGAGCCCCGCATCGGGCTCTGTGCTGATGGCTCGGAGCCTGGAGCCTGTTTCGGATTCTGTGTCTCCCTCTCTCTCTGCCCCTCCCCCGCTTGAGCTCTGTCTCTCTATCTCTCTCTCTCTCTCTCTCAAAAATAAATATACATTAAAAATTTTTTTTTCTTTTTTTAATGGAGAAGACAAAGTCACTCCCTGGTGGAGTCTCGTGAGGCCGGAATGAGGATATGGAGCAGTAAGGACGTCTGCTTCTGCGGGAGATCAGCCCTGCACATGTACCCGTTCCTGCCCAGGCCGCGGTGTGGCCGAAGCTGCAGCCAAAGGGGTTTGGGCCAGACCAGCGCTTGTCTGTCTTGTCTCATCATCACTCCCGAGGGAGCCCTGGGAGACATTTTCCCCTACTCGCCCTCCTCCATGAAAAGTGAAAAACACAGACATGCTGCCGCTCCGTTTACACACGGTGGCCAGGGGAGGGCCACAGGCCATTGGGACGTCTAAGGTAATTTCCCCCTCAAGAAGCAGGCTTCACCCTTGGGGGTGATACGCATCCACGGAGGATGTCTGCTTTAAGCCAGAGGAAGAACTCCATGACCCTGACGTCCGTTGGGCTCTGCATCAGTTCTGAGTGAGCACGCTGGGACTGCTTTCCTCGCTGACATGTGGGGACAGCACGGACATTCCTCCGCCCGGAAGGAACACTCAGCCGACCGCAGGAGGCAACCACCGGGAGGAGGGCCCGGAGCTCGCAGCTGCTGGGCCAGGGTCGGTGCCCAGTGTGGGCGGCCAAGCACAAGGCGGGGTGCTCCCGGGCACCCCTTCCAACTTCTAACCGAGACCCCAGAACGCAAACAACCCCTGTCAGGGGACCAGTGGGGGTCCTGCTAGGTCCCCAGAGACTTTGGAAGGGACCTCACCCCACTTCAAGCCTTCCTGAAGGATCCTCTCCCTCAAGGCTCCGCTCTATCCATCCAGAGATCTGGCTTTGGGAGCCAGATCTCTCCTCTGAGCCCCTCACATGCTGGGGTGTGGTTGTGACCAGCTGGACCCCCGGCGGAGTCCTGGGGCGCCTGGCTGTCTCAGTCGGTAGCGCTTCTGACCCTTGACTTGGCAGTTGTAGGTTTGAGCCCCACAGTGGATGCAGAGATTACTTCCAAAAGTTGTTTTTAATTAAAAAAAAGAAGAGGGGACACCTGGGTGGCTCAGTCGGTTGAACGTCCGACTTTGGCTCAGGTCATGATCTCACGGTTTGTGAATTCGAGCCCCACATCAGACTCTGCACTGAGGGTGTGGAGCCTGCTTGGGATTCTCTCTCTCTCTCTCTCTCTCTCTCTCCTCCTCCTCCTCCATTTACTCTTTCTCTCTCAAAATAAATAAACTTAAAAAAATGTTAAAAAAAAAAAAAAAAGGAGGAGAAGGAGATAGAGGAAGAAGAAGAAACCCCCAGCGGAGTCCCAAGTTCTCAAGGACAGGAACGTGCTTCTGGATGGAGACTGGGCACTGTCCAGCATGGGTCATGTGCCCAGGGCTCCAGCACTGTGCTGGGCTGAGTCGTGTCCCCCCC